AAGGCCCATTCTTGCATGAATCTTCAAGCAGTCAGCCTCTAGTACTTACATAAACACATATACAAACACATACCAGTATACTAGTATACCTGCAGGACAATTTGTAAATACATATCAAATAATTTAAAATATGCATACATTTTGACTGCTATTCTATAAATTATCTCAGGGATAACATAGTATTCTTTTATAATAGGTGCTCAATAAATATTAGTTAAGTAATTGAATGGATTGAAGTGTATTAAGATGTCTTCTACAGGATCATTTATCATAATAGAAAGAAGAAAGAGCCTCAATCTATATCAAGAAAGAATTGATTAAATAACGGTAGCTTTCATACAATGTAATAGCCTTTAACTGTTAAAAATGTTGATGTAGAGATTTATTGTCATGGAAAGATGCTCAGAAGATATTGTTAATTTAAAAAATTTAGCTTACAAAATAATCTTATTTTTGTTAAGAGATATATACTTTACAATATATATCCAAATGTTTTCAGTGATTATCTCTGAATGATGGAATTTTGCATGTGCTATGTTAAGATTCAAGTTCAGGCCAGACAAGAAATTACAATAAATATGAAAATCCGAAATGAGTCAGCCAAATCATCCTAAGTGATTTTAAAGGAAATGAGTCCAAGATCTTGTTCCAGGACTCCTGGACCCATCAGCCATATCAAAGCTATAAAAAGGCATCAGAAAGAGGACTTTGTAAATGAGATTGTTAAGATTTCTCTGAAGAGGACTGGTACAGAACTGTGGGTCCTCACTCTCTTTATAGGTGGGGTAGGAAGGGGCTACATTCTAGTCCCATCCTAGTCGGGGACCATGCAGGAAAGCACTGAGGGGATTTGAAATGTGTGTCATGCCGTTGGGAGATCCAGGACTGGTGTCTGACTCTTACCTGAGAAAGCTTCAGAGGCCTGAGGACTAAAGTCAGACTCCTTCCCAATAAATTAAAAAGAGGATTCAGGAAGAGCTGAGAAACTACTTTGTTTCCAGAGCAAAGAGAGGGCTTCTGTATTTGGATGAAGGTTTCTGTAAATTTCCAGTTTGTGGATGTAACACATGCAAGTAGGAGTGTTTCCTGTGGAACATGAGAGGGAGGGAGAGGAAGAGGAAGAAGGTGTACCATGAAATGCCCAAGGTCTAAGGGAGAAGTAAGATGTATCCTCTAGTCAAGGGAACTCAGTAGAGAGTAGACCAACAGGAAAACAATGAAGGGGGCCTCACATGTCTCAGAAGATAGCTTTAAACATCTTTGAAGCTCAGAAAGCATAACGGTAGCTTATGGTGTTATAAGATCAGACTGTCAAACATCAGAGGGAAGGCAGGGGAAGGTGGGAAGGGTGGGAAGAGATCAACCAATGAACTCATATGCATATAAGCATAACCCATGAACACAGACAATAGGGTGGTGGGCAGGGGTGGGGTGGGAGAGGTCTATGGGGGGAAAAGGGAACGTATGTAATACTTTCAACAATAAAGATTTTTAAAAAAAAGATTAACTATGAGCTTTCTTCCCCTCTCCCCTCCTCTCTCCTCACATCCAGCTACTTTTAAAGGAGTCATAGGTTTTAGTATAGCTCATAGGTATTATAATGTGCATTTATACAAAGAGCAACAATAGGTCAAAGCTCAAATTGAAAATCAGAAGAATTTCCCAAAGGATCAAAACAAAATTAAGTCCCCAATCAGAAGATTGGGTGTTCAAGAGTTGGTCCTTTTCTTGGCAATAATCTCAGGTTACATTAGTACTAAGGACAGTGAAATAGGATGGTCACTTCAGGTAATAATGATCATAACATCTATCAGAAAGCAGTTAAGCTTCTGCAGAAATACATGACATGTACTGAAATGGAGGCTAAAAGCCATTTGCACTTTTATTTCATGAGAATAAACAAGGATTAATTACAGAGGCAGATCATATTCTATTGGAGAGATCTTGGAAGATATTTACAAATAATTCACATATAAAAATTAGTTTTGCACCAATACTGTGCTCATTGGAGAAGATAAAAGCATTGGAATTTAATTGCTAATGACATGTTTATTTTGGGAAACATGGCAATTCTTTTGTTGGGGCTACCCTTGTTTCTCTTCTCTCCTAATTCCCTTTTGGCTCATTCCACTACATTTTGACTATCTTCTCACTAATGATTATGCTCTAATCAGCTTGACATTTCTTCAACAGCTGTACTAATTTCTATCCATAAAACTCATGCCCACTGCTATTCCAAGCAGAGAGTGCCCATAACTGTGGTGGAGCACTGAGACTTCCTGGGAAGATTCAATATGTACCTCCTGGATCATGGGCGAACACATTCAAATTGATCTTTTATCTTTGTTAAGGAAGAAACTGACAAGTATATTACTGTTGAGGGGAGCTAGGCATGCTCTTGCTTTAAACACTGGGAAATGTAATTCTACTAACTTCTTTCAATGAAAAGATGTAGAATCATTGTACCATTTTCCCTCCCCACATCCAGTTCAAGCACTGGAAGAGCATGGTCAGAACGCAGGATATCCACTCAACTGACTACTGGATCAATCAATGGACATTACCTTCCTCCTATGGAAGGCAGCATTTGATGCCCACTGCCCACTGAATGCTTGTGCCTGACAAGCTGGTCTCAATTACACACACACACACACACACACACACACACACACACACACACACGCACTTGTTCCCCCCATTGGTTTTGTGCTTACCAAGTATCCATTACATTTGTTTTTAGACTTATTTATGCTACTTTTCTTTGACATAGCAATTTAATAAGGAAGAAAATTGCTGTTCTAAGGAACTGAGTTGGGTGCTTTGAAAAAAACACGTATAAAGGCAAGTTTCTTAAACATTGATGTCAAAAAGTTGGGCAGGGGAGGCACAACTAGAAAAGACTGAGGAGGCTTGTAAAAATTAGAAGCTTTATGCACCTTGAATGGGTCTGCAATCAGCTTTCATTCTCATTCCACTTGAGAATAAACTAAACTAGAAACTTTAGTGAAAAGACTAAGAAAAGCCATCTGAAATCTAATTGGAAGACTTCTGCTAAAACAAAAAGTCATGGCCCTTTCTGGGAAGGGAAAAATG